ATGGTGGCATAATTGGATGGCTGTACACAGTAACAAGGAGGACAAACACATTAAGTCTGTGGGTTATGGAGGAATGCTGGTGGTTGGACTGCTTAGGATGCAAATTGGACTCAAATTTACCTTCTAGACATGCCCGAACCTCCGCCAACTTCTTATCATCTGCCAGATGAAGCAGTTTAGAGAGCTGGCTGAAGCTGCGTACATAAACAGTCGGTGGAGAGAGCTGCAGGAGTGGATGGCCCTCACTATCTCTTTCGTGGGACTGAACATCTGAGTCACTGAGTAGGAAACAAAACAAAAAAGAAACTTTAATTGCCTGAAATGCTTAATGGAGATCTGAGTCTTTGTTTTTGTACTTCTGATGAAATACAGTGGAACGTTCTCAATCTTACTGAAGCTGAAAAACAATTAATTACAGTCCACATGCAGCTTTGAGTATGTCTAAGGTAAAAACATTTGGAGACCATGGTGACAGCAAATCCTGCACAGACACATAATACTGAGAGCCAGCCAGCTGCCCGCTTCATGATTAGACCAACCTGATGTCGTAGTCTGTTTTGAAATCAGACGCCACTAAAGTGGTACTCCACTGGAGTGGCTCCTCAAACACATGTTCAGCTTCCTGTGGGTGTTGGGAACTAAAGCGCTCCACAAAGTGCAGGATTTCTTTCAACAAGGACTCATTCATTGGTGTGGATGCCAGCTTTGCAGTACTGGAGCTGACCATGGTCCACTGGGCAGCCCTGGTCAATGATATCCCCATCACTGTGTCTGGGATACTCTAAAACTTAACATTAACAAAGGAACCATTTAAAACAGCCTTTTAAGTCTTGGTTTGCTTGTTGGATATGACAGGAAATAAATAAATATTTCTGGATGGATTCATGGATAATTAAAAAAAAAAAAAGAAGACAGATGCTTGCACTGATATCAAGATGGCCATAGTGGGTCATTCAAATAAATGGCATGTACTATATACACTATATAATCCCCTCCCTCCTCCCATCATTATTATAGCTAAATAAAATCTAGAGAGCCAGACCCTTACGTCTGTGTTAGCTGCAGAACTTTAACAAAAGAAAGACATATCCAACAATCAAAACTCGCTAGAGGACAGCAATGCAAAAATAAACAAGTAATGTATTATAATAACGGCGTTAACGAGACTGTGAAGAGCACCAGCACACTTTCTTGGGACAGGAGTGACTAGTTAAGCGTATTTTTATGCTACAGAGACCCGTTATTAGAAAAGCCGATGGTCTTCAGCTAATATTAGATACAACAACTGAAACCACACCGAGGTATTCCTCATTAATTCACCATGAAGCAAGTCTCTTCCGCTGTCTGTCATGAAGTTATGACTATCCGTTTTTTACCTGTATTAGTACAAACTTACCGTGTATTTTAACTTGCTTTACAACACCTTTACTGGTAGCTAGTCAACCACAGTGTCCATAGAAACAAGACCACTATCGGCTCTAGTAAGTGCCCCTCCCACTTTTGTTGCCATGACACTGGTAAACGAAACGGCAAGCGAGTTAAGTCAAAATTCACAAAACCAATTGTTTCAGTTGACACATGACGATAGAAAACGACTTTTTATATAAAGAAGAAGAAGAAGAAGAAGAAGAAGAAGGGTGGTGTCAAGTGTTGTTGTTGTCATTTACTGAAGTTGGCAATCTTTTCAGCTGCTGGTGAACATGTTAGGAGCCTACAAGTCATGTCCTGCGACCCAATCACTTACTGTATTCAAATTCAAATTTTATTTGTCACATACACAGTCATACACAGCACGATATGCAGTGAAATGCTTAGACAACTGCTCGTGACCTAAAATAAAAGACTATGAATAGGATAGGAAATAAATATGAAAATTTAAAAAAAAAGAAAGTTAAAAATAAAATAACTGTACAACAAAATACACAATATAGAAAATATATAAGAATATATGAAGAAATATAGAACAATAAGAGCAGCTGTACAAGTAATAAATGGTAATGAAAGAAATGTAATGTCCAGGGTTGTGCAATCCACATATTTAAGTG